CCCCGCGGCTCCTGGCTCCAGCCCTGGGGGGCTTGGGCTCTGGGGTTTAGCCGCAGGGCCCCGCGGACCCCTGCTGAGAACCGCTGCCTTATAGGGTGCTCTCTCCCCTCCCCCACGTCTCACCCTCCCCCCCGTTCCATTTTCAGGGTTCGTTCCCCCAAGGGGCCAGATGAGGAGCTCGATGGGGTGGATGAGAAATTCTTCCAGGTGTTGGAACAGCTCAACTCCCAGAAGTAGGGTCCTGGGTGTGGGGGGAGGGGGGCACGGGGGGGCTGGGGGTAGATGGGGAGACAAGGGTGCGGAGGGGAGAGGGAGGAGGGTCTGGGAGTAAATGCAGAAGAGGGGCTGGGGAATGGGGGTCTGGGGTATTGGGGAAGAGCATGGGGGAAGAAAGAGGGAGGGGTCCCAGGAAGCAGGTGGGATGTAAATGAAGGTGCCATGGGGGGCAGGACACAGGGGGTGAGGAATCAGGGCAGGGGAAAGGCAGAGGGGGAAGGGTGCGGGGGGGGAGGTAAGAGAGGAGCAGCGAGGAAGAGGAGGGGGGCAGAGCTGGGGTTGGGCAGTGGGGCCGGGGTACGTGTGTATGGGGGGGGGGGGGGTCCCAGATCCCGCCCACTCCCCTCTCTCCCCCCTGTTTCAGACAGTGGAAGAAGTCGGAGGATTTTAACCGCATCACCCTGTACTTCAAGGAGAAACTCATGGAGAAGGAGGTGAGCTGGGCTCCCCGGTGGGCGAGGGGGCACTGCTGGGGGGAAGCTCGCAGCCCCAGGGCGAGCAGGGCACCAACCCCCTGGAAACAGTTCATGGGTGTGACGGCTGACTCGGGACGTTCTGCTGCATGGGGCCCCCTGGTGGCCGCGGTCCCTCATTGCAGCTCTCTCTGTCTCACCATGTAGTATCGACTCTCCGCTCTGCCTGCCTTCAAGTACTACACAGCCTGCACCTTCCTGGTCTTCCTCTCCAACTTCCTCATCCAGATGCTGGTGGCCCACAAGTGAGGATGAGAGAGGGGTTGGGATCCCCTCGCCCCCTGACCCCAGCTCTGCTGGTACCCCTCAGTCCTGACCCGCAGCCTGGGCTCCCGCGCCCCCCACCATGGCACATGGATTTTATGAGACAACCTGAGTCATGTCCCAGCCCTGAGCCAAGGCTCAGCAGAGTCATAAATCATGCAACTGGTGCTGATGGGGCAGAAACGTCTCCTGAACTCCTCATCACCTGGGCTTCGCTCCCCGCTCCCCCCTCCACTGCTCTGCCAGTGCCCCTCACTCCCAACCCAGACCCCCTGCCAGCCCAGCCCTGGGCTCCCCCCTCCACAGCTCTGCCGGTGCCCCTCAGTCCCGACCCGCAGCCCCCTGATAGCCCAGCCCTGGGCTCCCCCCTCCACAGCTCTGCCAGTGCCCCTCAGTCCCAACCCGCAGTCCACTGCTATCCCAGCCTGGGGGTCCCTATTATTTCTAGTTTGCCTTCCGTTCTCCTCCAGGACCCCAGCTCTAGGAATCTCCTACGGCATCTCCTTCTTCCTCTTCATCCTCCTCCTCTTCATCTGCTTCGCTGGGAACCTGGCGGTAAGTGAGATGGGCAGGTCACTGCTGTGGGGAAGCTCACAGCTCCAGAGTTGCTCTTGTATTCCCCCCCCCCAACATGCCCCAGCTAGGGGAAGCTCTCGTCCCTGCAACCCCTGGCTGGGGGCAATCTAACCTTCCCCTCCCCCCACCCGCACCCTGCCATCTGCCTGCTCTCCCAGAAGTGCTTCCAGAAAGGCCCCAAGATGCTGTACTGGGTGCCCTCCCTCTCCACGGCCGTCTGCACCCAGCCCTGGCTCCGGGTCACCCTGGGCGTCACCACCATCCTGGTCGTCCTCACCATGGC